CGCCGCTGCCAGGCTGAGTGACCGTACTCAGTACCGTACGCGGCCGGCGACGGTACGCCGGTGACCGGCCCGTACTAGTGACGGGGCCGCCACCGTGACGGTCGGCATCGCGCGGCGGCCGCGGCACGCCGTGACGTGACTCTGACTCAGTGACGGGCGGGCCCGGGGGCCGGGCCCGGGTCCCCGCCCGTGACCGGGTCCCACCCGGTGACCGCGCCGGCGCCAGGACGGAGATGCCCGGCCGTGTCACCCGTCCACGTGCAAGGCGTACCGGGCCCGGCACTGACCAGGCAGAACTCGGAACTCGGAACTTTCAACGTGCCTGCCAGTACGCCGGTGAGCCCGGCCTATCATGGCATGGCCGCACAAGTTGCGGCCGGGCCGCCGATGGCCGCGGCCGCGCGGCCGCCGGCTCGGGAGTCAGTGACTCGGGCTCGAAGCGGCGGCGGCGCCACCGTCCGAGGCTGCCGGTGACGGTGCCCCGGCTCGACTCAGTCGGAGTCACAGCGGCCGGGCGGCCATCCGCCGAGTGGCATCCGAGCGAGTGACGGCTCACTCACATCGGAGTCCGGCCTGGGATACTAAAATGATCACAGTGATGGCACTTTCGAATTGAATCGAGTCAATCACAACTAACCAATTTAGGTGTATGACGGTTCATGATCTTCTTTACTCAAAGTTAAGTTACTGAAAAAGCAGTACGAGGACAACGTTTGAAGTCATTACGGTACGGTAGTAGGCTGGCGGGTCAGCCGCTGAGCCGGCGCCCGGCCGCCGCCGGGTGGCAGTGCCACAAACTGCCAGAACTCAGCCGAGCTGTTCTGCAGGCTGAGTCACGGATCATACTGAGCCAGTGGCCCGCCGTCACCTGCTGAGCCGCGGCCCTACACCGGGATGCAATTCCAAGTCCCTGCTAGCCACGAAAACCAATTTCTCCTCTGCCAACCTCCCGCACACCTTGCCATCCCGGACACGTAATCCATCCTCCACGCTTCTACCTCACAAAGAAGCTCCTCCGCCCTCGGCCTCTCCTCTGCCTTCATCGCCCATGATCGCTTCATCATGTCTCCCAGCTTCCTGGGCATCATGCGCTCCTTTAGCTCCAGCGGCCGGAAGTAGCCGTACGTCGACGCCAGCTGGGCAACTGCATGGCCGTCCATGTTGCTGAAGGGATGGCCTCCGGCGAAGATAAACCACATCAACAGCCCGAAGGAGTACACGTCCACTGCCGCCGTGTAGTCGGCTTCTCCTCGGTAGATCTCCGGAGCCATGTACCGGAACGTCCCTGTCGTCCCCGTGAGGTTGTAGCCCGGCTCGCTCCCAGCAGGGTGCTGGTCCTGCTGCTCTGGCGTCGGGCTCGTCGTGGAGGAGCGAGGGCACCGGCGGCTGACCCCGAAGTCTCCGACCTTGATGGAGCGGCCGTCAGCAGAGAGCAGCATGTTGGCTGGCTTGATGTCGCGGTGAAATACAGGAGGCGTCTGCGAGTGCAGGTACGTCAAGGCGCTCAGGATGTCCTCTACCCACGACACTGCCCTGCTGATCCTCGGTCGCCACTGCCGGCTCCGTCGCGCCTGCTTCTTGGTCTCGTAGTAGTGCTCGAGGTTCCCTCCTGGCATCAGCTCCATCACCAGCCATGGCAGCCCGCCGTGCTCGTAGATGCCGTAGAACTCCACCACGTTGCAGTGCTTGAAGCCATGGCTCATCATCTCGATCTCCTTGAGCAGCTCCTTCCCTTCCCTCGACCGCACGTCGAGCTTGGGGCACAGCGTCTTGACGGCCACGGGCCTGCCCTTGCATACGCCTCGTCTGACCTCTCCGAAAGACCCTTGCCCGAGCAGCTCCCCGATGGTCAACGAGGAGCGACGAAGCACGAACGAGTCGCACCTCGCCAGGTCAGGCTCCTTGAGGACGGCGTGATGTGAGGCGAGCTCGAGGAGGATGGGGCAGTCCTCATTGAGGGAGGATCGCCTGCCAGAGCTGGTCTGACTTACGTGAGGGTCGGTGTGACTCTGGGAGCGGGTCGAGTCATCCAGAGCGTCGGGAGGTGTAATTTCCTGCTTGGGAGAGGCGTCGGAGGGGGGGGAGAGGAGGCTTGTTTGTGTGCTTGGGGGGGAGAACTCGAGGGAGCAAGATACGTTGTGCGTGTCTATGCTCATTGTGAACAGATGCAGCTACCTTGGAGTACAGACTCAAGGCTTGACAGAAGTGTTTTCTTGCTGTTCTGGTGTTGTTAATTTCTTGTTGGATGCTTGTAGTCTGAGATGTTTGTTTTCTCTTGAATGCTCAACTGATTTGCTCTGATCACATGCCCTCCTCCGACCTCGTGACCGCCGCCGATCCCACCACCGGTAGTGCCATAGTTCCATTCAAACATGGGGTACTTTACACCGACTCGTTGTGGCTATAAAACCACTGCGCAAGGGGTTCACCTTCAATTCACCACCCCTTCTTTGACCCTCGTTCAAGGGGGTATCAGCCTATCTTACTACCCCTCTTCTGATCAGGGAAGTTGACAGCCCGTCACTTTACGCCTCACTACTGTTTTTCAACTTCAATTGAGTAAAAAAAGCGACTACCGCCGCCCGGGACGTACCGTACCGTAGTATTTCCGTAGGGATGATAGCACCGGCGTAGCGATACTATGACAGTCGTACCGCCGTAGGGCACCCTATTAGGGATAGTAGCACCGCCGTAGGGACAATGGTACCGCTGAGCGGAGGTAGGAGCCCCTCATCCCCCTATCTCGAAGTTCAAAAGTTAAGTTAAAAAAATCGGTACGTAATGACGATGCGCCCGCTGATTCCTGTTTGACCGTCAAATCAAAGAGTCACACAGTTGACTAAAACATCAGGTACAGTCGGAGGGGGAAAGATCTCGAGATCGCCCCCCGTCCCGAGACGTCAACTTCGGGGTCTCCCAAGAAGGGGTGCTTACCCCCAAAAAGCCTCAACCACAAGGGTGGGTAGTCCAATAATGGCGTTTCGACTTTCCGGACAATTACAGGACAAGCGTAAAAACATACTGTTCAAGTTGCCTCCCACTGTTCAGAATGAGCACAGACATGCACATCGTATCTTGCTCCCTCGAGTTCTCCCCCCCAAGCACACAAACAAGCCTCCTCTCCCCCCCCTCCGACGCCTCTCCCAAGCAGGAAATTACACCTCCCGACGCTCTGGATGACTCGACCCGCTCCCAGAGTCACACCGACCCTCACGTAAGTCAGACCAGCTCTGGCAGGCGATCCTCCCTCAATGAGGACTGCCCCATCCTCCTCGAGCTCGCCTCACATCACGCCGTCCTCAAGGAGCCTGACCTGGCGAGGTGCGACTCGTTCGTGCTTCGTCGCTCCTCGTTGACCATCGGGGAGCTGCTCGGGCAAGGGTCTTTCGGAGAGGTCAGACGAGGCGTATGCAAGGGCAGGCCCGTGGCCGTCAAGACGCTGTGCCCCAAGCTCGACGTGCGGTCGAGGGAAGGGAAGGAGCTGCTCAAGGAGATCGAGATGATGAGCCATGGCTTCAAGCACTGCAACGTGGTGGAGTTCTACGGCATCTACGAGCACGGCGGGCTGCCATGGCTGGTGATGGAGCTGATGCCAGGAGGGAACCTCGAGCACTACTACGAGACCAAGAAGCAGGCGCGACGGAGCCGGCAGTGGCGACCGAGGATCAGCAGGGCAGTGTCGTGGGTAGAGGACATCCTGAGCGCCTTGACGTACCTGCACTCGCAGACGCCTCCTGTATTTCACCGCGACATCAAGCCAGCCAACATGCTGCTCTCTGCTGACGGCCGCTCCATCAAGGTCGGAGACTTCGGGGTCAGCCGCCGGTGCCCTCGCTCCTCCACGACGAGCCCGACGCCAGAGCAGGAGGACCAGCACCCTGCTGGGAGCGAGCCGGGCTACAACCTCACGGGGACGACAGGGACGTTCCGGTACATGGCTCCGGAGATCTACCGAGGAGAAGCCGACTACACGACGGCAGTGGACGTGTACTCGTTCGGGCTGTTGATGTGGTTTATCTTCGCCGGAGGCCATCCCTTCAGCAACATGGACGGCCATGCAGTTGCCCAGCTGGCGTCGACGTACGGCTACTTCCGGCCGCTGGAGCTAGAGGAGCGCATGATGCCCAGGAAGCTGGGAGACATGATGAAGCGATCATGGGCGATGAAGGCAGAGGAGAGGCCGAGGGCGGAGGAGCTTCTTTGTGAGGTAGAAGCGTGGAGGATGGAGCGCGGAGGATGTGGGGGGTTTCGGGGGTGGTGGTTCAACTAGGTAGGTGCAAAGTTTTATTTGTGTTGTTTGTTATGAAATGCTGAAGGTATTCCTGAGTTTTGTTTCTCCTTTTGGTTCCTCTTTTTTTCTTTGGTTTGGACTGGGTATGAACAAAAAGATCTGTTAGGTCGCGGAAGGATTTTGACGGTATTTGTTTGGAGTTTTTCGCCAGTCACAAGTTCATTTACTATGCTGGCCCTTCTCAAACAAACATATCTTATTCAAGTCGGTACCGGCCTTGTTTCTTGATCAGCCTCTTTACCGTTAGAAAAAGGGAATGAGATATCGCTATCTGTTGGCGGAGATTGGGGCATGGAGGAAGGGCAGGGAGGCAGGGGTTTGGCTTGGCTCGTTCGTTACAAGAGATCTGAATAAACTCTCTATGCATTGGCGATAGAGGAAATGTTGACTCGTACTCCAACAATCAACTTTCATTCAAACACATCACATGTACTCCTGTTTAGTTCTCATCAGCATTTTTTCTATTTCCTCTCAGACCAGTTCCTGCACTGACAAATCCACACACCGCACCTACTTCTATAGATGCCACCCCCGGCAGCCTTCAACCTTCCACATGACTTTGTCACTTTGTTTGGCGTACGAGATCACTATTTGGAGCCTTCACGTGAGTTTCTTCATTTGCTGTACTAGTATGTTGAACCGATTAAGACTACATCGCCTTGACAACATATGGTGTACGATCATATTAAAAGAATTCTTCACTCTGATTCGAATTTCAAGAGCTTGCATTACATCTCGCTAAAGGAGAACATGATGTTTGGAGTAGATTGTCGCTTGAGTTGATTCATCATTTCTGATTGTTTCTTCATGGTTACCACGCGCTCAAACCCTTCCATGGCATTGGAGAGTTTCCTTGCATTGGACTGGTGTCGAACATCAATCGACTTGGACCTTGATTTCTTGGAGTCTTTCTTGTACACCTGCGGCGCAGGCAACGAAGTTTCTGCTGGAGGAATGACTTCCTGTGCCTTTGTGCCGATGCTTGCGCGACGCATGCGGGACGGGTGAGCACATTGCTGTGAGCTCGGTCCACTAGGTGCCGCGGAGGGACCTGAGCAAGATTCGAGAAGAGAAGGATGGATCTGATGGATCTGATGGGACGGAGCTTGAGCCTCGGAGTGTTCCATCAAGTCATGGTTCCAACAATCATGGTTGATCATCGAAGAAGAAGCCTCCGGTCCTGGAGCAGCTGAGGGGAAGAGGTGGTGCAGGGATATGGGTGACTGAGAGGGCAGGGAGGAAGATAGGGACGCGGATGAAGCATGGAGGGAATGGGAGCGTGAGCGGAAAGAAACCCCTGCCATCGTCTCGTCTCGTTTCTCCTTTCGGCGGTCAGGCGTGAGGAGTACTGCTTTATCTTGGTCCGTGAGCAGGGTGGGGTCCTGGTACAAAGTTCAACATACGGGTCCGTTAAATTTAAATCGTGAGGATTACAAAGGGTGGGGTAGTTGAATCCCCACACAGAGATTTGACCAGGTGGGGTGGTAGACGTTAGGGCAATCAGCAAAAGACTGAGTGGTGGGGTAGACACCCTCCAGTAAAACATGGGGGTACATAAGGTTTATTGGAGGGGTACTGAATATTTCCAAGAGGTCAAGTGGAGTGGTGGAGTTTTAGAGGACTCGGTTTGTTTATAATTGGTTTGTTACAGATATGCAGTAGGGGTACTATGGAAGTCAAAGGGACGGGTACATAGTTGATGTTCATAGGAACCGACATGACATCTCGTCGTTTCGTTAAAACAGACAGCTGGTCACTACCCCTACCCCCTCTTATGCTTGACAATGACCCACCCAGGAAGTTGACTCCCACCACAGTTACAGCAGCCGTTTCATTTCCGTTACAAGAAAAGGTCAGGATATCGCAACTTATCGGAACTAAGACCATGACTCAAGAGTTTACTACACATGCTCTCTACAACTACTTTTAAAAGATTCGAATGAAATACTTTTAATTTTGACCCCTTCGCCGGGGGGGATAAGACCCCCACCCCCACAAATACAACTATCGCCACTGGTGGGGTGGGTTACAGTCTGATGGCCCTGTTACAACTGATTTAAAGATGCCTTGTTTGTGCCTCACCGTTACAGTGTAACAGTCGAATCTGGTGACTGAGGTGTGAGGTCGATGCAGGGCGCAGGGGGAGCAGGGGGAGCAGGGGGAGCAGGGGGAGCAGGGGGAGCAGGGGGAGCAGGGGGAGCAGGGGGAAGGATGATATAGGAGGAGCTTGCAAGATTGCGTGAGTTGAGTTGTTGGGTTCACGGAGGAAGGAGAAGAGAAGGGAGAATGCTTGTGGAAACTGCCTCGAGACTAGCCTTGGTTATATCCAATGGCAATATTTGCTTGCGCTGTCTTTGGCCATCCATTATTGTTTCCTGACGTAATCTTTGTAGCGAGACGTCTTGTGTTTGTGACCCTTTGCAAATTCATGCCAGAATATTTAGAGGACACTTTGCCAATCATCCCTGTAGATCCTATTCCGTGATGCAGTTTATTCATGTGGTGTGACTTCGTCGTCTTGTCAAATAAGAGAATTGCATGTGAGCTGAAACCCTTGGGGGTGAAAACAAACGACTGCGAGGTTGTCGTTGATGTGTACAAACACCAGATCATCTCCTGTCTTAGCAAACTTCGGAATCATTCACTCCTTGAACCTGCTGCTCATGTTTGGGCGGTATAAAGTGCTGATCAGTGGAAACACAAAGCTTGGATGAAGTTTACAGTCTTGTCTCATACGATTTCTCTTTTTTAAGCAGATCTGAATGTTGTTCAAATTACATAAAATTTTCATTCTCACTTCGTTCTTCTGTACACCTCACATCACATCACATCACATCACAAAACCTTGTCTGTCGACCGACGAAGCAGATCAACCTTTGTTGTTATTCCCATGACGCTGTTCGCTCGTTGCCATGACGATTGCTTTTCTCTCTTGAGCAATCGTGCACAAGTCCCAACTACTATTAGACCTCCCCAGTGGAGAGGACGGCTGCAGAATTCACGTAAGAAGGAATTGCGACAATGGCAGAAAGAAAATGATGGAGAAGACAGGAGCAGGAGGAGGAGGTGGGGAAGGGAAATTCCTTCTACGAGGAGGGGCAGGAGGGGCAGGGAGCAGACAAGGAGGAGCTGCTGTCTTGCCTGTAGGGCAGGTCGTGGAAGGGTGTCTCGGGGTCATCCCACAAGGCAAGTCGGTCACCGGGAGGGCAGAACTTTCGTCCTGCTAGTTGAAGCATGGCTTCACTGCAGGATCGTGAGCGCTGAAGGCGGAAGAGAAAGAGTTCATGCTCACCGGAGGGCCCCGTGCACCGTAAGGCCGTGCTGCATGCTGCGATAGACTCGGCGCATGAGGGTCGAGGTGCTCTCGTCGATCAAGCTCCAGATGCTGAGCACGACGGCTCTTGCTCCTGCTGTGATGAAAGCTCGGCAAAGTCTAAACAGCGCCTCGCTGCTGGTGCAGGCGTTGCAGGCGCTTAGGAAGACGACGGCTCCGTCCGCTAGCTTGAGCTCCTGCTCAATCTGTCGCGGTTGAACGACGCCGTCGTCGAACTCCACGGGGTCAGGGTGATGACGCTTGCTGTCAGGGTCTTGTCTGACTCCCTTCATGGCCATGAGGATGTTCGAGTTCTCCACATGGGCGGCGAGATGAAGCCAGTCAGCGTCCCGAGCAGCATCGAAGAAGTTGCTTCTTGTTGCCTCCCCTCCACTCAGCGTGCAGACGGAGAAGTCGTTGCCTGCCAGACAAGCCTCTGCCTCCTCGGTCTCTGCTCCCGCATGAATCAGTTCTCCGTCCTCCACGTTGCCCGTGCCGTAGTTGAAGGAGGTCGGGAAGGGATTCCCTACCACTAGAGCTCTCCTTCTTGCCCTCTCTGGAATGCACAGGGGGCTGTTCCTGCTGTGCTCGAGCACTTTCTTCATGAGGAGGAGGCTGGGAACAACTCGAATATGATGAGATTCCACCAAGAACCGACCTCGACGGCTGACCAGCGCCGACCAAGGGATCATACTGAGAGCACCGCAGGGGACCAGCACGAGCTCTTGGCAAGACTGAAGACACTCTTCGACAGGAAGGATACAGAGACTGTAAAGTTTCCTTAGGATCGTGTTGCCGTAGATTCTGATTGAGTCCTCCATGCTGCTCGTTATCGTCTCGATGAAATGATCTCCGCCCGGTCCCTGCAGGACTGACTGAACCTGCAAGCTGACATTCAGATTGCAGAGGACAGGACAAGGACGAGGACGAGGACGAGGAGTAGGAACAGGGAGCCGAGGAGGGGGCGCAAGTCGCTGTGGCAGTAGGAGATGGGGAAAACCAACCTCCACACTCTCCCAGGCAACAATTTCGGCATGTTTGTTGAGGAACCACATGATGATTGTTTCTGCTCTTCCCGCTTTTCCTCCACAGGAGTCCAGAAGATCATAGACGATGAAGTTGCACTGTTCAGCAGAGACGATCTTCTCTACGTCTTCCCAGTTGAGAATCTCAGCAAGTTGGCATTCAGCTCGTGTCTTGTAGTTCTCTGCTTCAAGAATAGCAAGCCTGCATGTCCATAAGTGATTCGAATGCCATCTGACTTTGTTGTTTACCTTGCAAGGCTTTGGTCGACCTTCCCTTTGATCTTCCAGTTTGTTTCTGCACAAAGTGTGTTATGTTAAGAGGAGATGAGCGCAAATAAGTCCTTACCGCCATGATAATACTTGGATCGGAAAGCGACTCTTGCATTCTTGCATGTGTTTTCATCCGGAATTTTGAACCCTGACAGCAAAAGGTACAAATGTGAGAAGGAAGGTTTCAAGTCTATCATCGTCTTCACCTTTCAGTTTCGGTCTGCCTTGGTTTGTCGAGATCTTCTGCAACAATCACAGTTGAGTAGCTGCCGAGAAATTTCTGCATGTTGTACCTCGAGCCTCTGCAGCTTTGTAAAAGATTTCTTTCCCGCATCATCGTGAGCGCGAATGTCGAACAGCGATGAAACAAACGAGTGTTGAGCGGCTGACTCAATCATAGGCAGCTTGATCTCTTTACAACCTCCCCTGTACTTCATGTCCCTGCTCTCAGTGTTTCTCGTGCCAGCGCCATCGCTCCTTGACTTGTTGACTCCATTCATCGTCCTTTCCTGGACAGATTTCGGGATGACAGTCCTGAATGTCTGCAGCAGACTAGATGTGAAGTCACTGTTCATTTTCGCGCCATGATTTTGCTGTAATATTGCCGTGCAAGTATTCTTGAAGGCTAGAAATGATCAAAGTCATTCCAAACAATAAACCAGAAAAAGAAACAGAAACAGAGTCAGAGACAGAGATAGAGATGGAGATGAAGATAGAGTCAGAGTCAGAGTCAGAGTCAGAGTCAGAGTCAGAGTCAGAGTCAGAGTCAGAGTCAGAGTCAGAGTCAGAGTCAGAGTCAGAGTCAGAGTCAGAGTCAGAGATTGAGAGTGAGA